CCCCCCCCCAGACCCCCCCCTCAAAGGCTGTACGGTGTGCTGTAAACAACACCTGACGTCTGGAAACACACATGCCGTACCACCATCGTTCTGTGCACCTAACTGCATTTGCGCCAGTGTCTCTGTGAGCAAGGCGCGGAGCCACTTTGACTGTTTATAAACATCGTGAGCACGCGAGGGCAAAGTTATATATATGTACACTGTCGGCACCATCAACACCACAGCATTGCACCAGCCGCCGACTTCGCTCAAATCGCTGGATTCACTGACTTCAAGAGCGGCAACTACGAAGTGCCTATCCTTGTCTTCTGTATTATCTAATTCTTCTTCTAAATGTTTGGGGCATTGCGTCTGCGGACTTTCGGAGCCCTTTGCTTTGGTCAAGAATGAACGAATGCCCCGTTGACCTAAGTTGAATGCAACAGCGGGCCGTCTCATGGTGATATCATCAAATATTTTATATATAAATAGTGTATAAGTTCCAGATGTTCAGCTTTATCTGTGCAGAAGGCATTTGGGGCGACTTATGGCCGAAGTAATGAACCAGTACGGCCAACTGACCAATTATTCCATTTCTTCCAGGCTCAGACCCCCATTTATTCCCAAAAAAGTAATATATTACCAAAAAATAAACACTGGTGAACTGGAGTCCGTGTTGCAGCTGTACACGTCCATGTTGCCAGAGCGCCATGTTCTCCCTACATCCCTGTACATGATCAACCGCCTGGCAGGCGTCCACAGCTGGTCAGATTTCATGGTGCACGTCTGCAGTGCTGAGGGGTGCCCCGGTCACATGTATGGCAGGCCGACAGGGTCGCTTGAGGAGCATGGCGACAAGTGCCCGCACTGCTCTCACCCTAGGTACTCCTTGAAGGATGTTAGGGTTTTAGGGTTTTGGGTTTTAGGGTTTTAGGGTTTTAGGGTTTTAGGGTTTTAGGGTTTTAGGGGTTTTAGGGTTTTAGGGTTTTAGGTTTTAGGGTTTTAGGGAGTACACACGGGGGGAAAGAATGGGCTATTGCAGCGAAGCAACGCCCCAGATGAGTGCTAAAAACAGTGCATTAGAACATGCATATTTGAAGCTTAGCCTAACGTTGTCCTTGGCCTCCGACTGCACCCACTACCCTCCAGAGCGTGGCCTGGAGCTTTTCGAGTCGAGGGACGTACGTCATACATCGCTACAAGGTGTGTATGGATAGGGAGGGTCGGGGAATTGGGGCTGGAAGGGTTGGGAGGGTCGTGGCACGGGAGTTGGCGGGGTATGGGGGTTAGGGAGGGTCGGGGAATAGGGGTTGGGAGGGTTGGGAGGGGTCGGGGCACTGGGGTTGGCGGGGTATGGGGGATAGGGAGGGTCGGGGAACGGGGTTGGGAGGGTCGGGAGGGTCGGGAGGGTCGGGGCACGGGGGTTGGCGGGGTATGGGGGATAGGGAGGGTCGGGGAATAGGGGTTTGGAGGGTTGGGAGCGTCGTGGCACGGGGGTTGGCGGGGTATGGGAATTAGGGAGGGTCGGGGAATCACATTTCACTCGCTTTTCAT